TTGACATCTATAGGTTATTTCACCCAACAACAGCAGAATACACGTTTTTCCCAAGATCACATGGAAATTCACTAACACAGACCATGTTCTGGGCCATGAACCACACCTTACCATATTCAAAATAGTTGTAATCATACAATGTCTGCTTTCAGACCACAGAAGAATTAAACCTGAAATCGATAATAGAGAGAGAGCTGGGAAATCACAAAATAAATGGGGAGATTAAAGAACACACTTCTAAATAACACATGAATCAAAGAAGGAATCTCAAGAGAAATTTTAAAATGTTTTGAACAAAAGGAGAATGAAAATACAACTTACCATAGTGTGTGGGAAGCAGTGAAAGCCGTGCTCAGAGGAAAATGTATAGTAATCAATGAATAGCATGAAAGGAAGGAAGATCTAAAATCTCCTACCTTGGGAAACTAGTAAAAGGAGAGCAAATTAAATCCAAAGTTAGCAGAAGAAAATATTGAGAATTCAAGAAGAAGTTAACGAAACTGAAAAGAGAAAATCAGCAAAACCAAACACAGGTCTTTGATAAGACTCTAAGGAAAAAAAAAAAGAAAGAAAAAGAACACAAATTAACCATATTGGAAATGAAAAAGGCGGCATCACTATCGATCCTGCAGACTTTAAAATGATAATAAAGGAGAACCGTGAACAGTTTTATGCACACAGATTTAATAACCTAGATGAAATGGACCAATTCCTTGAAAGAAACAGACAATATGAATAGGCCTGTACAATAATACCTTGTTTTCTTGTGCTTTGCTTTATTGTGTATCACAGACTTTGTGATTTATACAAATTGAAGGTAGGACCCTCCCCCTGGGGGTCCTGGTTGCAACTCACTTTATTGCGACACTCACTTTATACCGGTGGTCTGGAACCAAACCCACAATGTCTCTGAGGTACACCTGTATATATTTTAAAAATTGAATCAGCCCGGCTGGTGTGGCTCAGCGATTGAGTATCAACCTAGGATCCAGGAGACTGAGGTTTGATTCCCAGCTGGGGGCGTGCAGGAGGCAGCCGTTCAGTGACTCTCTCTCATCATTGATGTTTCTGTCTCTCTCCCTCTCCCTTCCTCTCTCTGAAATCAATAAAATAAAATGAACTGAATCAATATTTAATAGCCTTTCAAAACAGAAATGACCAGGCCTAGGTGGGTTCATTGGTGAATTCTACCAGACATCTAAAGAAAAAATTATACCAGTGCTCTACAACATATTTCAGAGGGTAAAAGCAGAGGGAATACTTTGTAACTCATTCTAGGATACCAGCATTACCCTAGTGACAAAACCAGATGAAGATATTATAAGAAAAGAAAACTACAAGCCAATATTTCTCATGAGCACAGATGCGAAAATCCTTAACAAAACATTGGCAAGTTGAATTCAACAATGTATAAAATTAATTACACATCACAGCCAAGTGAGATTTATTCCAGATATGCATGGCTGGTTCAACATTTGAAAATAAATTTATACAAAATAATATTGAGTGTAAACAGTAAATGAAAAATAAAAAAAAAAATCAATTCACATAATCCATCATTTCAATAGGCTAAAAAAGAAAAATTGCATGATTATATCAATAAATGCAGAAAAGCATTTGGTAGAACCCAACACTGATTCATGATAAAAGCTCTCAAAAATAGATGGTAACTTCAGCTATCTCCTACTCGGCATCACGGCTACCCTCAGACCCCTCGTGAAACCCAAGGTCGTCAAAAAGGACCAAGAAGTTCACCCAGCACCAGGCAGACCGATATGTCAAAATCCAGTGAAACGGGCAGAAACCCAGGGGCTTTCACAAGAGGGTGAGCGGAAGGCTCAAGGGCCGGGTCTTGATGCCCAGCATTGGTTAGGGAGCAACAAGAAAACCAAGCACGTGCTGCCCAGTGGCTTTCGGAAGTTCCCGGGCCACAGTGTCAGGGAGCTTGAAGTGCTGCTGGTGTGCAACAGATCTCACTGTGCTGAGATTGCTCACAGCATCTCCCCAAGCAACGGCAAAGCCGCTGTGGAAAGAGCAGCCCAGGCGCCCCTCGGAGCCACCAATCCCAACTCCAGGCTGCGCAGCGAAGAAGATGAATAGACGGCTTGTGTGCACATTGTATTTGGGTCGGTAAAACCATAAAATTCTGCAAAAAAAAAAAAAAAAAGATGGTAACTTCATCAACTTGATAAAAAGATACCTACAAATAACCTCTGGCTAACATCATACAACATCATAGTTCATGATGAGAAACACAAAGCTTTCCCACTAAGATCAGGTAGGAGTCAAGGATGTCCCCCCGTTACCACTTTCTTTCAGTATTATACTGGAATTTCAAACTAATGCAATAAGACAAGAGAAGAAAATAAAAGGGATACAGATTGAGAAGGAATACGAAAAATGTCTTTGCAGGTGACAACATAGTCTATGTAGAAAATCTGAAAGAATCGATTAAAAATCTCCTGGAACTAATAAGTGATTATAGTAAGACTTCAGGATGCAAGGTTAATATACAGAAGTCAGTTGCTTTCCTGTACACCAGCCAGGAATAAGTGGAATTTGAAATTAAAGACACAACATCATTTACATTAACATCCCCCAAAATGAAATACTTGGGTATGAATCTAACAATACGTATAAGATCTATATAAGGAAAACCACAAAACTCCAATGAACTAAATCAAGGAAGAACTGAATAAATTGAGAGATTTTCAGTCTTTTTGGATAGGACGTCTTACTATTATTAAGATAACAAGTTCTTCCCAATTTGATTTATAGGTTCAATGTAAACTTAATCAAAACCTCAGCAAGTTATTTTGTGGATATTGACAAACTTATTCCAGAATTTATACAGAGAGACAAAAGACCTAGAATAGACAGCACAATATTGACGAAGAACAAAGCGGGAAGACTGGTAGTGCTTGACGTCAAGACTTACTGCAGTGCTCTGCTCATCAAGACAGTGTGGCATTGGCAAAGGAACAGATGCCTAAATCAACGGAAGAAAAGAGCCCCAAAATAAACCCACATAAATAGTCACCTGATCCTTAGCAAAGGTAGCACAATGGGGCAAAGGTAGACTTTTCAACAAATGGTGCTGGAACAAGTGGACACCCACGTGCAAAAAAAAAATCAGTCTAGACACGGACCTTAAACTATCTACAAAAATCAGCTCAAAACGAATCCTAGACTTACGTAAGACGCAAACCAATAAAACTCTAGAAGAAAACATAGGGGGGAATCTTAATATTTGGGAGTGGCAATGACTTTTTAGATACAACACTNGCTTAAACTATCTACCAAAATCAGCTCAAAATGAATCCTAGACTTACGTAAGATGCAAACCAATAAAACTCTAGAAGAAAACATAGGGGGAATCTTAATATTTGGGAGTGGCAATGACTTTTTAGATACAACACTAAAGGCAGGGTCTGTGAAAGAAATAATAAGCCAGACTTCATAAAAATGGAAAAGTTATCTCCAAGAAGACAACGCCAAGAGGATAAGAAGACAAGCAACAGATTTGGAGAAATTATTTGTAAAAGGCGCATCTGACAAAGGACTGTTTTCCAAAATATACAGAGAACTCTTAAAACTCAACAATAAGAAAACAAACAAATGGATTAAAAAAATGGTCCAAAAAACCTTAACACATCTCTCATCAAAGAATATACAGATGGCAAGTAAGCATATGAAAAGATGCTCCACATCATGTGTCATCAGGAAAATGCAAATTGAAACAACATTGAGATACTACTACATGCCTGTTAGAGTGACCAAAATTCAGAACACTGACAACGCCAAATACTGGCAAAGATGTGGACAGCAGGAACCCTCATTCATTGCCGGTGGGAATGCAAAACGGCACAGCCACTTCGGAAGATAGTTTAGCACTTTCTGGTCAAACTAACCATACTTTACCATAGGACCCAGCAGCCGTGCTCCCTATTATTTACGCAAAAGAGCTGAAAACTTATGCCCGCACAAAACCTGCCCGTGGATGTTTACAGCAGCTTTATTCATAACTGTAAAACTTGGAAACAACCCAGGTGCCCTTCACTAGGTGAGCGGAGAGACTGTGGTACATCCAGAAAATGGAATATTATTCATAGCTAAAAAAGAAATGAGCTATCAGGCCATGAAAAGACATGGAGGAAAATTAACCACATATCACCAAGTCAAAGCCGCCAATCGGAAAAGGCTAGAGTAGTATGTGATTTCAGGTATATGGAATTCTGGGACATGCAAAACTATGCAGACTCTCAAATAACCAGTGGTTATCGGGGTGATGGGGGAGGGAGGGAGGAACAGGCAAGGCAAAAAGGATTTTGGGGGCTCTGCGAAACTACTCTGTGTGATACTATAGTGATGGATACATGTCATTAGAATTTGTCCAGACTCAGAATGTACAATACCAAGAGCAAACCCCAATGTAAACTATGGTCTTTCAGAGATAATGATATGTAAATGTAGGCTCATCAATTATAACAAATGTCCCACCCTGGTGAGGAATGTTCACAATAAAGGAGGCCGTGCCTTTGTCAGGACAGGGGCAATACCGGAAATCTCTGTACCTACCATTCAATTTTGTTGTGAACCTAAAATTGCTTTAAAATATAACGTCTATTTTTTTTTTAAGTATATAATACAGAGCTTAGCACATTGAAGGTGNATTCAATTTTGTTGTGAACCTAAAATTGCTTTAAAATATAATGTCTATTTTTTTTTTAAGTATATAATACAGAGCTTAGCACATTGAAGGTGCCTAATGAGTGATTATCTAATGCCAAATATTTCCTACGCTATAACACATCACATCTCTTGACCAGCTCGCTCTCCCTGCAAGAGAATGTCCGTCCAAAATAGAATGCCAGGAGCGAGAGACAGCTGTGACCTAGGCAAGAATCATGGATGTAGAATTCCAGCAAAAGAAGCCAGTTCAAGACGAGAGCAAGAGCACGTCTTTTTACTTAAATTAAACTGATCTCCACTCCATGATCATGGCCCTGAAGATGCTGCCGGCTGCCGGCTGCTTTGTCAAGGCCGCGCGCGCACCTCCTGCCCTCCGCCATTCTCGGGAGAGTTTACTTGGCCACCAGGCCTCCTCGAGGAGCTTCTCATTCAGATACGACATTCCCCCATCGGCCAAGTATGGGGGGCGGCACACGGTGACCATGATCCCCGGGGACGGCGTTGGGCCCGAACTCATGCTGCACGTGAGGACCGTGTTCCGGCGCGCGAGCGTGCCCGTGGACTTCGAGGAGGTGCAGGTCAGCTCCGCCTCGCCGGAGGGCGACGTTCACGATGCCATCATGGCGGTGCGCAGGAACCGGGTGGCCCTCAAGGGCAACATCGAGACCGACTACAACTTGCCGCCGTCCCGCAAGTCCCTCAACAACGTGTTCCGCACCTCGCTCGACCTCTACGCCAATGTCACCCACTTCAGGAGCCTGCCGGGCCTGGAGACGCTGCACAGGGACATAGACATCTTGGTGGTCCGGGAGAACACGGAGGGAGAGTACAGCAACCTGGAGTACGAGAGCGTGAAGGGCGTGATCCAGAGCCTGAAGATCATCACGGCCGCCCGGTCTCGGCGCGTCGCCCGGTACGCCTTCCAGCTGGCCCGGGACCTGGGGCGCGGGAAGGTGACCGCTGTGCACAAGGCCAACATCATGAAGCTGGGCGACGGGCTCTTCCTCCAGTGCTGTAGGGAGGTGGCGTCCCGCTACCCCCAGATCGCCTTCGAGACCATGATCGTGGACAACACCACCATGCAGCTGGTGTCCCGGCCCCAGCAGTTCGATGTCATGGTGATGCCCAATCTTTATGGCAACATTGTCAACAGCATCTGCACGGGGTTGGTTGGGGGGGCGGGCCTCGTGCCCGGTGCCAGCTATGGCGCCACGTGCGCCGTGTTTGAGACGGCTGCCCAGCAGCTGGGCAAGCACATAGCCAACAAGAACAAAGCCAACCCCACGGCCATGCTGCTCACGGGCTGCTTGATGCTGGACCACCTGAGGCTGCACGCCTGGGCCGCCTCCATCCGCGCTGCCGTCTTGGCCGCGGTGAAGAACAGAGCCGTCCGCACTCTGGACATCGGAGGCCAGGGCACCACGTCGGGGGTCATCCATGAGATCATCAAGCACATCGGTTCTGCCAACTAAGTGGCCGGCGCCTTGGAGGCCCAGCTAGCTCCCGAAGACCTTTGTGACCCACTCTTTGCCTCACTCTGCCCCCTGAGAACCCCCCGCCAGCTTGGCTAGTGTGGACTCTGGACTAAACTAGCTTCTGCTTCAACTCAGAAGAGGTGGGGTGGTGTGTACGTGTGAATGAGTCTGTGTTTGTTTGCTTTTCTAGTAAATTAAAATGCCATCAATGCCATAAACATTGCTTGTTTGAATTTACCAAAACTATTGTGCCATATATTCATTGAGGAATTTTTCTCTGTTTTAATCCACCATTCATACTTCTCTGTGATACGATACACTAAATAAATCAGAGCTGTTTGAGAGTCTTGGGGCTTTCCCAGAACCTGGCACATGGGCTTCTCTCTTTATTTGTGTTATTAAAATTCAGGGAAACAGCCTACAGAGAAGTCTGGCTTCTCTCTAGAGGCTGTTAATGAGTTAATTAGTGCAATAAAATTTGCCTACAAAATATATATTACAACCTTAATAATAACTAAGGTACTATAAAGCTGAACTAGTAGAGTGCACCCACTCCCTCCTATATATCCCATTTTTCCCCATGGTCTTTTTATGTTAGGAAGGTATTTTTGCTAGTGTAATTTTTCACACATGGACATCCCTGTACATGGCAGCAATCCTGGAAGAGAATTCTTAAATTCCTTCATGTTGGGCTCCAGAGTCCACAGGTCAAATCCCTTCTTAGCAGGTACCGGACCCACGATTCTTTGCTGTACGAACAGAACCATGGACTATGAAGTCCATGCTTACTGCTTCACCATTTTTTATGGTTTAATTTCTTAAAGTGAAGAACACTGAGCTAATTTAAATGTTTAATGCCATTTTATTATATTTTATTTACAGTATTTTTAAGGTCATAGTTGAGAATCACATGAACAAAAATGATAATTTTATTAGCACTTGGAAATTATTACTCAAGTAAGAAGGAAGAATAATGATAGTAAAAACGTAGAGTAGTTTTAATGGGCAGGAATGACCTGCAGACAAAGGTGAGGTTGAGAGAAACGGAATCCTTCGTAACGGTTTGGAAACCTCTGTGTCTCAGCTGTGACCTTTGCATCCTGCCATGGTTCGTGGACCACAAGTTAGAGACAATGGACTTAGACCTCAGTTCCTTATGTTTTCCAGAAGACTCTGGCTTACCCTCTTACCTTGATCTCACCTGTCCTCATTATGTATAAATTCAGGGCCAGGCTTTGGAAAACTAAAAGCTAATATGAAGGGATTCAGTTTGAGGAGGAAGTGACGACCGTCAACCCTATCTAGAGTGTTTCTTGATAAAAAAGGCAAGTAGGGGCAAATTATAAACTATTAACAATGTTCTCTTTGTTGGATACTAGACATGTCAGTGGCCAGGGCTGCCACTGGCCCAAACGGTGCCTCCTTCTGGGTGGATCTAGACCTGCGCCAGAGGCATGGTTTGATGAGTAGAGCCAGCTCATCAAACTGCAGTGTGTTGGCTTGCAGCTCCCCCACCTCCAACGCCGCACGGACCCATGCTGCCTCAACCCGCATCATTTACTCCGTACCCCTTTTTATGATGGCTAGGGAAATTTATTCATGGCACAACCAGCCCAGCTGCAAACAGGAGCCCAGCTGTTGGCTTCTATCTGACGGGGAATTATGCTGGTGGGTGCCTTTGGGCTGAAGTTGCCCTCTCTGTTAAAGGTGGTTATCTCCAGAATCTTCCCACAGATCTTGGACCACACGGCTGTGATGGGACCTAGTATACCATAGTGGGATTTTCCATTTATCAGTATTAGATTTCCCCACTTAGCTCTGAGCACCTGTAGGGCCAATACTATGTTCTCTTTTTCTTGTCCGCTGTAACCCCTAACACAATGACTGGTACATAAAAAATAATGTATGGTTATTGAATCAACCCAAAATTAATGATGTGACTATTGGTACCCCACATTTCTTATGTGTAGGGTGAGATGATAACTTTATCTACCTCATAAGTTCCTTGAAAAGACTGAGTGAGAAGATATGCATGAAGTTGATAGCACCAGGCCCGTCACATGGTTAAGTGCTTGGTGTATCTTAGAAATTATTCTGTGAATTGTTATTCATTATATACCCTTCTAAAATCAAATTCTGAGTTATATGAATTTGTTACTGTCTTTGGAACTCACTGGATAGATTGCTTCATTTACTATTATATTATGGGTTTGTAACTGACTGAACTGGGGCGCAAATCCTACCTGCTCATTCATTGAGTCCCCTTGTCTCCCCTTTATTTCTTGAATCCAGCCACCTCTCTTCTTTCTCACTGGTACCTCCTTTCTCATGAGCCTTTATCATCATTGGTAACTTCCTAATTTCTGTTACTTCTAACTTGTGTCCGACCTATAATTTAGCCTCCTTAAAACTCTTTTCTACAGTGCACTCAGTGTGATCTTTCTGAAAGAAAAAATAGGGTCACGTAACTTCCTCCCTTAAAACCTCTTAGTCAACAGCGTTTCTTTGGCCCTAAGAGAAAGTCAGCTGAGCACAGCATGAAAGGCCTCCCGTGTTCTGATCTCTGCTTCCTTCTCTGGGTTCACCATCTCTCCCCCTCTCCCCGCCCCAATAACAACACAGTGGGGGTACTCCAAAGGGAGGTTCTGAGTTTATTGCTAAGAGCCGTGCACTCTTTCTAGTTTAGGCCTTTGCACGTGGTCTTGGTGTCTCTCCCCTTCAGGAGATGAGCTCCTCACCCTAGCAGACTAAACGTAATCACCCCCACCTCTGGGAAGCCTTCCTTGACTGACGCTCTTCCCACTGCTGAGACTGAGGGGAGTAGCTCTCCCGGCTCCCCCGGAGCTCTCTGTACGCCCTGCCTAACGTTTGTCTCTCTGGTTGTCGTTACCTGCTTTCCTTCCCGCTAACCTCACCGCCCAGGGCGTTCCTCGGCCACAGGAGTGGTTGAGTTGAGTCGCCACTAGACCATCAGAACCTAGGACAGGGACAAGCTCTTAGTTTATGCTCACTCTGAATATTTAGGAAAGGACAATCGGAAGGAAGGTGAAAAGGAAGGAAGAATGGCCTGGATTCACGGCTAGGAGTGGAGGACTGGAGGAACTAATCTATTGCAAAATACTCCTGGCTTCAGCCAGTGACCCTTTCTTTACAAGCCGGCTCCTCTGGAACAACACTGAAGCCCTCAAGGCGGTGCAGCAGGTGGTTGGCAGGCTGCCTTTGTTTCCTGAGATTTCTGTACTACATTTACAGGACAATTTTATTTTAGGCTTTATCAGTTTACTCTGCTTTGTTTAAAGTCCTGATGTTATAAAGAGTAGCAACTACAAGTTGTCTGACTTTTCTCTGAATTAACTCTTTCTCATTGTGGATCTGTTTTAGTTCATGGCCTTACAAATCACTCAGTCTCTCAAGTTGCATAGCTAACATGTGTCCCAGCTCTTCTGTGTAGGAGCTCTGTGACACTGGATAAGTGACTTAACCTCTCTGATCTCCAGTTTATTCACCTGGAAAATAAAGGTAAATACTTACCCTCATAGGATTGTAGTAAATATTAAATAAGATCGCTTTAGTTGTCTGTGGCTGCATAAGAAACCACTTCAAAATTTAGTGGCTTAAAACAAGTGATTATTGCCCTGGCCGGTGGCTCAGTTGGTTAGAGCATCATCCTGATATGCCAAGCTTATGGTTTGATCCCTAGTCAGGGCACATACAAGAATCATAAATAAGTGGAGCAACAAATTGACCTCCCTCCNTCCCTCCCAAAATCAGTTGGGAATATGCAGCATATTTGCTGGCAGCTGATTACAGAGCTAGACAGTGTGTGAAGGGAGGCACTTACTCCTTGGAGTTCCCCTGACAACTTGAGCAACATGCGAACTCAATATGGTAAAGTGTTCTCCACACCGAAATGAATTTGCTTACGCTGATATGGGAGCTCTGTGTATTGCATTTGTGACTGCGCCAAGAAACACAAGTTGAAGAGAAAGGAGACATACTTCAAATGGAAAAAATGGCTCAACTTCACAAAAGCAATTAAAAAACATTGGTTTGTCTCGCCACCAATTTTGCAAATGCTTAGAAACAAACACATTCTGAATGAACACAGTGTCAGTTGAGGAAGACTCTAGTCTGGCTCCCAACAGTGCTTGGTTTGCTACAATTAAAGCCAAACTTAGTTTATGCAAAATGGATATAAATGAATGAATGTTGCTACAAAGAGAGAGAAAATATGTCTAAGTACAAGTGATTTTCCCCCATTTTCTGTCCCTCAGAAAAAAAGGAATTGCCTTAAATTCAAATCCTTGTAACGTTCTCATGCTATCAGGTGTTCTCTTAGTATTTTTCTTTAATAAGAGGAAACTCCTTGAGGGGGGAAAAATGACATTAGCAATGCCATTTTGGGACTTTTATAGAAATTATCTGGAGGATGAATTTTAAAAAGAGGCAAAATATATATATATCCCTCACGAAGAGTCAGCCATTATTCCCGGGAGAGTGTTCTCACAGTGGCGGGTATTGTATGGCATCCTATGCATGCCTTTTAAAAATCACTTACTCAAGCGGCTTAGTTTTTTGGGCACATTGTAGAGATCACTAACACTTACTTATAGACAAATGGGGAAACAAGTAGTCCTAATATTATGCAATTGGATTCTTGTGACTTCGCTTGACATTTTCAATGAAAGTATCCAACAGAGATTCAAAAAGCGCTTTATCTCAACAGCGCAGACAGATGGGATAGGCCTGGAAAACTTTAGAGAAGCTGAAAAGTGGCTTTGGGTTGGGGAAGACCTTTGGGGTCAAGATTCATAGGAAGAAATTAAATGAAACTATTCTATGATGTCATGGTAAAGGAAAGGTAATATTTCTAAATTAATTTATTATTTAATTAATAATCTGTGCATAATAAATGAGACCATAAATCAAACATTATACGTAGGTAGCTATCTAGTTAATATGTTCCTCAAAGTCATTCAACTTTGCCCAGCATGTAT